CCATATTCTCATCATAGCACGTGCATTACTTTTCCAATCCCATTTACCCCTTACTTTCTGGGGTGAATGTGTATTAATCGCAGTCTACCTTATTAACCGACTACCATCACCATTGTTATCCACTAAATCATCTTTTGAATTGTTATACAAACGTCCACCATTACTTGATCACTTGAGAGTTTTTGGTTATTTGTGTTATGCAACAGTTGTTCATCCAACTCATAAATTTGATCCTCGTGCCAAAAGTTGCATCTTTGTTAGATACCCCACTGGTCAAAAGGGTTACAAAGTTTATGATTTGGAAACTAAAAAATTTTTTGTAAGCCGTGATGTCAAATTTTGTGAATCCACTTTTCCTTTCTCTTCTATTTCAACTCCACAAAATCCCAATTTTGTATTGCCCCAATTCTCTCCTGACATCACGAATAGCTAGCTCCCAACACAACCCATCTCCACCAACATTCCATCTCCACAACCCCAGCAAACCTATAATACCCCTAATTAGAAAGGATAGTCTCGGCATTTATTTATTATTTTTGTTGAATTTTTGCATGATTATTTGGTTTAATTATTTTATTTAATTGTTTACCTGTGTGACGTGTATTTAATTGGTATCTATTTATTTGTTTAAATTGCATTTTATTGCATTTTATTTTATTTAATTGATTATTAAAGGTTTTAATTTAGGAAGTAATTTAGGAAGTATTTTAATTAACTATTTTATTTTCATAATTAAGGGTTTAGTTTCTTTAGCCGACACAGGATTTAATTAAGTTCAATGGGCCGGTTAGGATTTAGTTAGGGTTCTAATTAATTTAGGGTTTTGGTATAACTCTATAAATATATGGGTATACGTCTGCCGAGGGTTTCTAAAACCCTATTCACCATATTCCCGTATACAGTAAAGAGAGAAGTTAAGAGAACAGAGCGTCATAACGGTCTGTCAAGGAGAATAACAGAGAGGACCAAGGGAGGTGTTTGGTGGATTAGATCAGAACCAGAGGAGGCTAGAAGGTAGTCAGTGGTTGCCGGAAAGCTTAGAACAACGGCGTCAAGGTTCTGTTTATAAAACTGTACAGGCAAGTTCTTCTCTTTCTCCTTCCCTTTGGCTTGTGTTCTGTGCACCTAGACAGTCTCTAGGAGATTAATTGGCCTTAAACTGAACCATGCATGTTTGATATATGATTTGCTTGATCGTTTTATCTGTGCAATATTTATTTACAAAATAATTATAGCGCGTATGTTTTCTTGACTCTGTTTTGGCATAACGTGCCACTGTTCTAATTTTTATTTTGAATCTTACTGAAATCAATCAAGGTCTGACTGGATACTAGACGTAAATTAAGACTTCAAATTTAAATTGGAGAAAGAACAGAGGGGTTGGGATAAAACTGATCTTGCAATTTAGTTTCAGTGTCGTTCTTCAACAACGCTAGTTTAAATGGCCTGAGTAAACTCTGTAATTGCTTTCAAAACTATTGTAAACAATCTTGGGGAATGCTTCTAGACTAAATTACGAGTCCTAAGATTAGTTCAGAGACTAACAGAGGGTTAGGAATAAGCCGGAGAAGGAGCACAAGAGCTGAAACGACGCACCGGGGACGAAGGCTCTCAGAGGAAGTGAGAGCCGGCTCCATGGAAGTGGGAGGCGGCTCCCACAACAAAGTGGAGCCTGCTCTAGGGAGTCCTAGAGCCGGCTCTAGGCTGGAAAAGAGCCTGCTCCAAATTCTGGAGCAGGCTCCCTTGGTATATTTGATTTATTTTACGTTTTTTTAATTTTCTACATACTATGTTCACTGTTGGAGCATGGAGACTGTTTGAATGAATTTGGAACTTTACAGAGGGATCAAGGAATGAATTTTGAGTGTTAGTAAGACCCTAAATTGAGTAAAGTTTAATTCTAAGTTGTCGGGACAAACAGTGTAAAAATTAAGGCACTTAATAAATGGAATTGAATTAATTGTTGAATTAAAATTCAGCAATTTGATGGAACATAATGTGTTTATAAAACTTGTTTTAGAATGCATTCAAGTGCATGATAGGGTCATTTAATTATTAATTTTGATCTATGCATGCTTAGGAGGCTAGTTGCGGAATTATTAAATTGTTTACTGCAACTATATGGCTAATGCTTGGATTTAAACTGCTGAAATATTTAAACAATCTTCTGAATTGTTTTAGCAATTTATTGGTTAATAATAGGATTATTTAACCTATTCACATGCATGATGGAGTCCCTGACATATTAAATTTGGTCTATGCATGCTCTGGATGTTAGTTGTTGATTTGTTAAAATCGTCTCCTGCAACTATATGGTTAAATGCTTGGATTTAAATTGCTGAAGCTTTAAATAGTTTTCTGCAATTGTTTGGATGGTAGTTTTTGGTCTGTAAATTATTGAACTGTTATATATGTTGTAATTTACATGGATATGGAGGATGGTATGTACCGGTATGGGACGGTGACATACTAGGGACGGTTTAGCTCAAAACGCATAAACCTAACCTAATGGATTAATGGAATGGATTGAAAGATATCGAATCCTAATTGTGGCTAAGTCAGATCAGCTGTGACCAAGTAGAATGACTTCCTGGATTAACGGATGGTAGTTAAGTCATATCAACTGAATAAGTGGAGTGACTAACTAGTTGGTTTATTGTAGGTCAGTTTAATAAATAGTTGAACTGCTTACCCTGGATTTGGACGGACTTTATATATATGTTTATGGTACCACGAGTTGAGCTTGAGTCTCAGACTCGTTGGTTAGGGTGCGTATATGCAGTGGATGCGTAGCTGGTTATAATAGGTTGAGGTGTACCCTGTTAGGTCTAGGTACTCATGCCCACCTTTGGGTGCGTATTCGCATGTTGCCTTCTATTCAGGTTGAGACCCCTATTATAGACTAGTGAATGTCCCTTAGTGTGGATATATTTATATGTATGGACTAGATAGATATTGTGAGGTGTCTACGGTGTATCTGCGTATCGGGTCACTGTATGGATTGCAGTTAGATTAGAACTTGCTCGTGGGTCTGACCCACTCCTTTATTATTCTTTTCAGGTACAGGACGGTTCCAGCTTTAGAGCTTGATCGTGCTTGTCGAGGCCGGTCTCACCTTCATCTGATTACGTAGGACTTCTCTCGATATTTCTAGCATTATCTATTTTCAGTTTTCAGTTTCAGTTGAACTTTTGGTTAGGGGTCCATCAGTGGATTCCCAAGTTGTAACCTTGAAGTTTTGGAGGATTGGAGTTTCATTTTTCAGTTGTCCATGGAGGATTTTATAATTAATGTTTCTTTCAGTTTTATTCCATCACTTTTGTTTCATTTTGTCATCTGTG